GCTTTATTCAGATTCTTTAAGAGAGTTGTTCATTTCTTGAATTTTATTGGTTTGTCTTTTCCTCCATTTCATGTAATTTTTGCTTGTTTTTTCTTCTTTTTCCTTAAGGGATTTTGTTGTTTCCTCTTTAACGGTCTCTATCATCTTCATAAGATAATTTTTAAGGTCCATAATCTGAGGTGAATCTGAGTGCTGCTCTGCCCCCACCTTCCCCGATCACCCCTGCTCCCTCTTCCTGAGCCTCCCCCTGGACAAGAGTTGACCTGCCCAGATCGGAAGGCCCACCCTGAGTCTGGACACACTGCACTCTTGGTCTCCTCTCTGCCATCTACCCTTTGCTTTAGGAGACTAGAAGAGAGGGAGAGACCCTAGTGGCACCCAGTGGAAGAAGGGATGCTAAGACTTCAGAATAAGAACACACTCAACAACAGAAAGTCCAATATGACCACCAGAATCTAAGGACTCCACACCAGCAAGAACTGAAAAGTCTTAGTACAACTTGATATGCCTTGTTTATTTTATATCCATAGGCAGCCTGCCACTTTTCTGAAAATTGAAAGATGAGGAATGGTTTCAGGAGTGGGACCAGAGGGGGTGGAGTGAGCAACTGGGAGAAGATGAAGGAGGGCAAACTGCAGCAGGATGCACAGTTAACTAATTAATATAATTTTTAGCTAGTATATAAAATAGTGGTCTTGAGGGCTAATATTATGGCTCCTGATCTCAAGCATGAAGAACTATGATTCCTGGTACCCAAGTGGTCAGAGAGTCTGCTCCTACAAGTTTGATACTGACCTTTAATCTCCTGCTATGCCCAGCTTACTCTACACCCCCATATATATATTAAATAATTAAATAGTGGTCTTCATTGTGACATTCGTATGTGCACATATGTGTGTATGCAATTAATTATATATCAGTGTACCTTGATCATGTTAATTCCTGCCAATCTTTTCTCTGCCATACCTACCTTTATGTCTATTTCATACATACACAGATATACAAACACATGTTTCTGTTTATGCATAGACAGATATATCATCAGTATCTGATGACAATGTGTGACAATTTGTTCTTCTTCATAAGACCCTTTATAACGAAGCACACTGTACCGTGCAATTAAGACACACAAATAAAAATGCACTTCAGAAACCCCTAGAATATTTTAGGTAGCATAGTAGAAACCAAATTTAAAAGATATGTTCTCAAGGAAGTCAAAGTTCAGTGGAGAGAAATAAACATGAAAATATAGATCAAGCTGGTAGCAAATACCTATAATCCCAGACTCCAGACACAGAGGCAGAAGGATCATGAGTTTGAGGCCATCTATACAAGACCCTATCTGAAATACATATATGATAGATAGACAGATAGACAGACAGACAGACAGACAGACAGACAGATATGCTCCAATAGAGAAAAATATGAAAATGTAACCTTTTTCATTCTGTGTTTGGCTTATTTTTTTTTGTTACAATGATAACCAGCTTCTATCATGTTATTACAAATGACATAATTTTATTTTTATTTAGGTTACAGTTCTAGGTTCCTATGCAAGAGAATTGAAGATTTATGGATACATGAACTGCACAAAAGTGTTCACAGAAGTATTGGTTATAATAACCATAAGCTGGCAATACAAATATACAAATAACCTAAAGGGGATGACTACAGAGTAGAATACCTCTTCACACTAAATAAGAATATGTTCCCAATAATGTAATTGCATGGTAAATTCCCAAAACATTATGCTCCATGAATGCAATGGACACATAAAATCATATCATTTTTTATTCCAGAAAATAACTCTCTTTTCTAGTCACCCATGTGGAATGGATATTTTGCATAAGAACCAAAGAGAAAAATTGAGATGTCAGGGAGGGGCCTGAAATCTCAGACAAAACCTGGGGTACTTTATTTTTATTTACTTTTTATTCTCTTTTTATTTTCAGTCACTCACTTTTTAAAGGAGGTTGAATGCTCAGCTGTCTGCAGGGACATTTACCCATAAGTTTTCCAGTGAATTTGTTTGCTGAAGTTCAGCTCAGCTCCAAATCTATCTCCTATCTCGAATCTTCCTTGTTTTGTTTGTTTTTTAAATCAGATTCAGGGTCTCATCATCTGTAGCTGGCCTGGAACTGTTTATGTAGACCAGGCTGGACTTGAACTCATAGAGAACCCTGTGCCTCTGCCTCTGCCTCCAGAGTGTTAGGATTAAAGGTGTATAATACTATGTTTGATCAAGTACTATAAGAGTGACTATATCTCTATTTTTCTTTATATATAACTTTTTTTTAGTTTGTTAGAAATAGAGAAATTCAAACCTAAACAATGAGATAAATTGGGTAATAAAATAAGCATATTATTTAGCATATGTATAAATGCATATTAATTAAAATAAAGTTATAATCAAAATATTATTTCTGTTTGCTAATTTTTTTTCTGGATTATGCCTATCACGGGGGAATTGAGGAATGTTTACATTTAAAATAGTTATTTAGTTTTAAATTCGGCAGACACTAGAGTTTAAAGATTATTTTAGATCTCTAATGTTTTTTGACCATGGAAGAAGACTCTGGGAATACATTCTCCCTAAGGTCATTACTGGTTTTCTTCTTCTCCTTAACCAGACTACATAAGAAGTGGAAAAGGATAATTTATTAGCAAAGGCACAATGACCAGGCTGATTTCAGTAAATGAGAAGACCTGGAACAAGGAAGATTGAGTTCTGCCCCCCTGTGTGGAAGAGACCAAGGATTCTCTGGTATTAATTATTGTAATTACTTAGATTACTACACGATCTAAGGAGAAGAATTTAAAAAATTGTGAGTTTAAGTCCATTTGGAAAACATCAGCAAGATTTGTCCCTTCTTCTCAAACCAAGAAAACAGTATTTGTGGAAGGGGTGGGTTGTCAAGTTTTTGAATTTATAAGAAAATTGAAATGCCCTGTTTTTTTTTTTGTTTTTTTTTTGTTTTTTTTTTTTTGTTTTTAAGAAAAGGGAGTGTATGAGTGTATGTTTATAAAGGCAATGGTAAGAGAATGATATATCTGTATGTATGCTGACTTAGAGACAGTGAGTCATAAAGTGGAATAAGAAAATACTAGTCATTGGAGAGAACACCAAGTCTGAAGTGCTGAAAAAAGTAGGAGGAAGCTTTCAGTTACATATTGTCCTAGAGAAAGAGTGTTTCCACTAGTCCTCTGTGCTTTAGACAGTATAGGGACATTACCAAGTTTATGTGTGTGTATCTGTTCTAGATAAACAAATCAGGAAACACTGTAACAATTGCTCTAAACTTCTCTGGTAGGAGCTCATTTGTGTTGAAAAATTTGTATTTTTAAAGTCAGTAGGATGCCAAAAGAAGAGCAGTTGACAAAAATCTTAGGAATTAAGCTTGATTCCAAATTTGATTAGACTTCTGCTGTTCTCTTGTCCATTTCCCCTATTTATCTGTAATACACAACAGAAGACAGATACATAGTGACTTTTGTTCAACTCTAGAACAAAAACCTGAAGATACTCAGCACTCATGGCTTTTCAAAAGCTCACGATTGCCCTGTAGTTTCTGCAAAAGACAACTGAAATTGCAGAATTCTGTGCCTGAAAGAATTAAGCACAGTGGACCTTGAAAGATGCATTCCCCAAAGGACAGCTCACTACCACAGAGATCACTTATGCCCATGAATTGATTTGAGAAAACATCTTGAAATACCTATTAATCCAAATTTATCCACATGTGTTTTTCCATATCAATGATACCGATTAGGATGCTTGTGATTCCCCTGCTAAAGGTACTTCTACTGAAATAAACTTCTTTCCTATCCTTAGAATAATCCCAACCCAATTGAATGATAACTTCTTCCACAAATATTGAATTCAAAGTCATCCACATGAAGTGATATGGTGTAGCTAACATGAAGCAGGAAATATGAGAATGCTTGAAGAAAAGCTGACGTTAAAGTGCCAAGCACTTCCTCTCTTGTTTTTGATGTTGTTTTTCTCTATGTTTCATGTAGGAGTTTAAATCTCACATCCTGGAAACTGAGGAGAAATTCTGGGGTGCACCCATTTGCAGCTGAAGAAATTACCTGGGGCTTTGCTTCTATCTTGATCCAACAGGCAGAACTCGATTCATTTGCAAAAGATTCTTCTATTATCAATAATTATTACCATATTGATGAATATTCCCTTATCTTAACCTCTTCTTGGGATTCTGTGATGATTCTATGCTTATGGAGTGATTTAATTTCATTGTAGAAGTAACATTTTATGACAGATAATAATGACTCAATACTTTATTATATCACAAATGAAGTAAGGGAGGTCTCATAAAGTTAAATGATTCATCTGACTTACTATGGATTCATATCACAATCAAAAATATCTAAATTAAGTTTCTTTTTTTACAGCCACATATTGATGTTGAACCCATGAAGCCAGATGACAGGCCATAATTTCATTTCAAGATGATCCAGTTTTCAGGGGAAGGGAGGATTACAGAAGTCATTGCAGCTATGCTACTTGTGATTTCTGAGCAGATGGGACAGTCAGGCAGGGCAGTATGAAGCAGGGCAAATCTGAGCAAACATTATCATTTCTGTATAAAGAAATGAAGCAAACATTTACTGGTACTTCAGAAAGTAGTCTGTTTGAAATTCAATAGAAATCATATACAAAATAAGATCCAAGTATATTTCAGAATCTATGTACAAACTTTACAATACAGAGGAGTGAGTTTTCAGGTGTCATGTAATGCTGCAAGAAGCAGCCTTGTTTCTTTGGACTTCGCATGTCATCTGAATGGAAAGGAGCACAGGGATATAACACTGCGGCAAACTGATCAGAGCAGATACATTCAAACTGAAGCCTGAGTATGGAAGATGCCAGTTCTCACCTTCCACCTCCAGCCACCATTATTTTTCATTTGCTACAAAATAGAAATGAATGTGTGTCTTTTTCACTTCTCCTTCAGGTAATTTAATGTCCTCTTGGGAGTATGGCCTCAAGAACATATTCCATAGAAGGAGTAAACAATGTCACTGAGTTCATTTTCTTGGGACTTTCTCAGAACCCAGAAGTTGAAGAAGTATGCTTTGTGTTGTTTTCCTTTTTTTATATGGTCATTGTGTTGGGCAACCTGCTCATCATGCTCATTGTGTGTGTTGGCAATCTTTTCAAGTCCCCCATGTATTTCTTCCTCAACTTTCTATCTTTTGTGGACATTTGCTACTCCTCAGCCATAGCACCCAAGATGATTGTTGACATGTTAGTGAAGAAAAAAACCATCTCTTATGGGGGGTGCATGTTGCAAATCTTTGCGGTTCATTTCTTTGGTTGCACTGAGATTTTCACCCTTACTGTCATGGCCTATGATCGATATGTGGCCATCTGTAAGCCCCTCCACTACATGACTATCATGGACCGAGAGAGATGCAACAAGATATTACTGGGAACATGGGTGGGTGGGTTTCTACACTCTATTATCCAAGTGGCTCTGATGGTACAGCTCCCATTTTGTGGACCCAATGAGATTGATCACTACTTCTGTGATGTACACCCTGTGCTGAAACTTGCCTGCACAGACACCTACATTGTTGGTGTTGTTGTGACAGCCAACAGTGGTACTATTACACTGGGCAGTTTTGTTATCTTACTAATCTCATATGCAGTTATTCTGGTGTCTCTGAGAAAACAGTCAGCAGAAGGGAGGCGCAAAGCTCTCTCCACCTGCGGTTCCCACATTGCTGTGGTCATCATCTTTTTCGTTCCCTGTACTTTCATGTATATGCGGCCTGACACTACCTTCTCAGGGGATAAGATGGTGGCTATATTTTACACCATTATCACTCCCGTGCTGAACCCTCTGATTTACACTCTGAGAAATGCAGAAGTGAAGAATGCAATGAGGAAGCTGTGGACTAGAAAGGTTTCCTGGGAGACTACTAGAAAGTAACAGAATTATTTTTTAAGTTGGCAAACATCAATTTCTTCAGCCTTAACTAATGCCATTCGTTAGTGAAACAATAACCTCATCTTCATAGGATTCAGGAGAGAAATGATGGGACACTGTGTTACAAGGAAGAGAGGTGTGATAATCATGATCATACTGTAATGTTTTATGACCAAATTATTTGGGGAATGTGAATTAAAAAGAAATTCTGTTATTCAGTTATAGCAATGCTCATATAAAAAACATTGCTCACTCTTCTTGCTACTTCACTATTTTTTTTAATGTGAGAGCATGCCAATAAGATACATAAGGCTGTTTCTAAGGCTTAGAACTGTGGTATATATGCTGGGTGGGGGTGGTACATGCCTTGAATCCCAGCAGGGGGATCTCTGTGTTTTCCCGAATACCTTATTCTACAGAAAATGTTTCAGGACAGCCAGGGCTACAAAGAGAAAGCCTGTCTCAGAAAATGGAAAAGAAACTGGTATTTACCTACTGAGCTCTCAGTGTGTATATATTACATGAATAAATAGTGTCATGGCCCGGCATGTCTCAGCTCCAAGCCAAAGTAGCCATGAGGTTGGGCCTGAGTGGGGGAGCATGGACTTGGAGACTGCTAGTAACCCAACTGTTATAAAGACCAAATACAGGCATCTGTCATCTTCAGAGAGCTCTCAATTCCATGCTGCAAAATTAGAGTCTCTTCTTTTTTTGGCATCTTCCTGGCTCTTTTCTAACCCTGCTTCCAAGGCCATTAGGCCATTTCTGGCTCCTGCAGTAACTCCTCCTCTGCCAGCTAGATCCTAACTCTCAGTGTCCTCTCTTGTTACTTACACACCTCGCCATCTGCCCAGGTGCAGGCCTACTCAAATTCTTAGTTTTGTAGAGATATAAACTAGGGGACATTCTCCACTGAGGCTATGTCATTCAATAGCCTATTAGCTCAAAACTGCAATACAAATGTAGGGCGGAACTAAACTGGAGGTTTGTACCTAGGGATATTTCTTAATGATATTTTCTGGCCCCGGACAAAATGGTCATACACATGGGAAGGATTTCATCCCTGCTAATGTCTTCTTAACAGAGTTTAGAAAATAAGGAGACTATTAAGCTTCAAACATTGAAACTGTGGTACAACTGGCAAAGAATGTAAGAAAAAAAATATTTAGAAGACAAAAATTAGTTTTAATCATTTGGTTTTGATAAATAGTATTTTCATTCCTTATTAGTCATTTTCTTTTATTCCAACAATTACAATCTTGGATTGAGTGCTCTGGAAGAGCTCTCATTTCATTTATACCATTCCACTCATCCCATTCTCATTCTGGACATAGATTTCTGATATAATCTGTCCATTCACTGGGATCCACACACTGTGATTTATTTCATTTATTAATTGATTTATTTTGGTTTTTCTACACAGAGTTTCTCTGTGTAGCTTTGGAGCCTATCCTGGCACTTGCTCTGGACACAAGGCTGGCCTCCAACTCACAGAGATCCACCTGCCTCTGCTTCCTGAATGCTAGGATTAAAGGTGTGCACCACTGACACCTGGTGAGATTTAATTTATTAGAGTAAATATTGGGTATACATATGTCTTTAGCATAGTTTCATTGTAATTTACTAAAGTCTAATTATCCAACTTCTATTTCTACCTATACATATCTTTCAATTGTGGTGAAAATGGAGTGTACATGTTGCTCCTGGGAAAGCCTGTATTGCCTAAGAATAACATTGTTGCACACTTATGATTATATGTTTAAAAATAAACAATATATTTACTAGATAAGCCTGAAAAATTAGCACTGAAGAGGTGGCTGCATGTGGGCCCAGAGGGTGGGGATGAGGATTGGGATTTCAGAGTCAATATTGGCTACATAACAAATTCATGGGCAGCCTAGCAGAGTAAGTCCATTAGACATTGAAGGGACTGGCTCCTCATTTCGGCAGCCATAACAGCTTGTCTGACCTTGTCTTAGTCACTAAGGTCAGATGCCTGCCCCTGTTGGCAGCCATAACAGCTGAACACAAGCTTGTTTGACCTTGTGCTAGTCACAAGAAATCAGATCCCTGCCTCATGGCACGAACCAATCAGAAGTTAGCGGGTGGCGCTATGCTTTACGGCACTGGGTGTGCTTTATGGACAAGTGCACAGCAATGAAGCTGGGAGCAGAGCAACCACCCTGGGAGGGCATATGGGACATAACAACCAGTTGGCCAATCAACACAGGGCAAACCCTCCAAGCCTGGAGGCATACCAATCCTGAGCCTGTGCGTCACCCTAGACACTCCCCTTACACTGCCCTACAAGATCTCTAGGCAGCCCCTAGGAGCTGTCTTTGCTAGCCATCCGGCCATGGTGGGTGGGTGAAAGACCCGAGATAACATGGGGTTAGCTCATTAAATAAAGCCTCATGCAGTTTGCATCAAGCTCTCAAATCTGCCTAGTGATTGGGGTGACCTTGGTCATGGCCTGGGACCCTGGATACCTGAGTTTTTTCAGGGGTCTAACAACATCTGTTCACCTTCACTTTTCTGAATTAGATAATCCTTGCAGAAGTTTCTTTCTTTCAATGTAAATAAAATCTGTAACTTGACTATATATTCCTCCCTCCTTTACATTATATTTTATCCTTCTTGTTATGTTTCTAAATTCTCAACACTTTTTAAAACATGGCATACTTCCTTATTTTAGAAATAAAAAAACCATCTCGCTAAAATCTGTGTCACGTTGAGGATCCTTTTGTCAAATGGGTTCCTTACCTTTAAACATGGTGTCTTTTGAAAAGACTATAGAAATACTTGAATAACTTTCAAGCCATTTTTTTTTTTAGAGTAGACTGGGGTACAGATGATGGGCACAGAAATATGTTTGTATATCTGAGGAGCTCCTACTCACTCCCTAGGCCCTAGCTATGAGGCAAAATGAACCCATAGATCCTGCCTAGTTCACTGAAGGTCTAAGGGGATATAAAAGAAATGCCTATTAGTATCCTCAAGGTGATATTATCCTATACTCCAGATTAGGTTAGTTCCACCTCATTAGTTTTTCTTGTCCAGTTTATTGTAATATTGATAAAAATGATTTTTATTTCATCTTTATATATGGTTCAACATGCATACAGTATAAAAAGTGAATATTGATAGTAAATATATTAGGATATCCATCACCATAATCATTGTGTGTGTACATATGTATATGTATGTGGTTATTTTGCAAGAGTGTCTTATTTACTATATATGGATAGGCAGTTTGTGTCCAGAAGATATTGACACAGCTTAAAATATCAAGAAAAAAAATATTATTCTTTTGTGCTCCGTGTTCAGTGAAAATTAACAACTGTATAGAAGGAACTGTCATTTTTTTCTTTTTTCTTTTTTTTTTTTTTGAGAGAGTGTTTCTCTGTGTAGCTTTCTAGTCCAGGATGACCTGAAACTCACAGAGATCTGTCATCCTTTGCCTCTCAAGTGCTGGGATTCAAGGTGTGTGCAACCACCACCTGGCAGGAGTTGTCATTTCTTTATCTCCGAGTCTCACACCACTTTGGAGACTTTCTATGCTACACATTTGTAAAAGAAAAGAAAACAAAGCAGTAACACCAGTACACACTTGTGCATTTTTTAAATGGGATTGTAAGGCTTCATTTATGAACTAGATTTCAAATACAAAATGAATTGAATATAGCATAATTAGGGACCTGATAATTGTTGGATTTTTCCTGTGAATAATTTGAAATGTCCTCATCATCTCTCTTGATTACTTGTCACATAAAGTCTATTTTGTTAGTATTAGGTTAGCTGCACAATCTTGCCTCTTAATTCCATTTGCTTGGAAAGTCTTTCCCCAACACTTTTCTCTGAGGAAATGTCTATCTTTGAATTTGAAGTGTGTTTTTGTATGCAGCAGTAGGATGGATTCTGTTTTCCTGTATATTTTGTTAGCCTGTGTCCTTTTTTAGGTGAGTTGAGTCCTGCTATTTTTTGTTGTTGGTGGTGGTGTGCGTTTCTTTTCTTTAGGATTTTCTGGTGTAGTATTATTTATTGGTGATGTCAAGCACAGACATGTCTCATTGCCATAAAAACTATGTTATTAAAACATTTTAATGCCAAATTCTATAGATCTCTTAAGTGTTTGAAGATGACCCATCTACCTAAATTACATCTCTGCTTGACCTTGAAGACATTAGCTAATATGACTAAAAGTTTGGTTTTAGTTGTTGACTATTTACTAACCTCCATTTTGTTTTTATCTTATAGAGTTGGAAATAACTTTCAAGGACTAGAAATTTGCATTATAGTGATAAATGAGGTGTATAGGTACAAATCTTGAACAAGATTAGAAATACATGTATAGTATGTTTTAAAATATAAAACTCAAATTTGTATCAATATACAATATTTGCATTCAATATACAATAGTCCAATCCAATGTAAACTATTTAAAACTGGCAGTTGCCTTTAAAATGTAGCTTCAATAATAAACTTATCATCTTATCATATCTATATTCTTCCTTGTTTCTTTTTAGAGTAGATTCAATAATCTACCCTTTTTATCCTATCATATCTGTATTCCTTTTTCTTTCAAAACAAAAATTTTGAATCTAATCTAAAAAGAAACAAGGAAGAATATATGTATAGTATGTTAAAACATACTATACATGTATTTCTAATCCCACCTCTTGGGAATGTGGGTGTCATGATCTTAAATTTACTTCCTGCTGTCTGGGTGTGATGGCATCTTTACGGGATCCTGAAAAGAAAAATTTGGGTTAACTGTCAAGCTGTATTATTTTTTTATGTGTGAAAATTATTCATTTCTTAATCTATTGGAAGCATTTCGAGTTTATTCTTACCATGGAAGAGATGCTGCATGTTATTTTTTCTTTTATTTTAATAAGTTTTGTTAAGTTAGAAACAATCTTATTTTAAATTTAGCCAATATTATTTTAGAAGTATAATGTTAGTAAAGCCTCAGTCTGGAATCTTCCACTCTTCCAATAGGT